CGGTAAATTTACCGGTAAATTACCGGTAATTTTACCGGTAAAATACCGGTAATGTACCGGTAAAAATTTTTCCGGTAAAATTACCGGTAAATTCACCAAAACCGTATCGATAGCACACACTGATCGCATGTTAGAATTCTCTAAATCCGCTCACCTGAATTCTCGCTTCAGCCAACTCAATTTGCTTTCCCAATGCTTCTCTCTGCTGAATATCCGGATACTGGCACTTTATAAATGCCTCTTCCAACATTTCCAATTGATTTTCACTGAATGCAGTTCGAAGACGTCGGACACGTCGTTCTTCCATTGGGACTATTGTGGTTGATGGTAGTGGTTGTGGTGGAGAGGAAGAGCATTCTGAAGATGCGCGTAGGTTTCATGAATTATTGTGGATAGATAATGAAATTTTGATAATGGTTATGTGGAACAGTTAAACTTTGAAATATAATCTCTTTGGCACTATATGGGGGACTTAAAGAAGGAAATACGGAACAGTGCAGTTTTTGATTTCGTTAAAAATGTCACACAAGGAGTTGAACTTCAATGTTGGAATGCCTATGCGAGTAGCTTCACAAAAACAATGGTTTATTTTAAAATTTTGCTCATATTACTGAAAGTGGAAGATTTATCATGGTTACTAGCAGGCTAGTTGAAGCAGCAAGATCAAATTTTAAAGAGGGAATAAAAAAGGGCCATTTCTCGATTTAAAGGTGGTGTGCGGTGAAAAATTGTATTGCTTTATTTCGTGCAGAAAACCATGTAGATTCCCATAAAAATAAAGAAAAAATTCAAAAAAAATTCCGTCATTGAGAAAAACGGCATCGAAAAGTCAAAGTGGGAACTGGTGGCCCAGCGGCCAGGTGTGAGTTTTCTAAGCCAACTGCCGGTAAAAGCGCGCGAAATTCGAACTTGTATTGATTTTCCGTGTTTTCTCTGACGTTTTTTAAAAATTTAAAAAAATTTTTTGTTAATTTCCTCCCGGGTGTATGAAAACCTGACAAAAATCAGAGAAAAAAATCAGAGAAAAACCTGACAAAAATCAGAGAAAAATCAATAAAAATTCAAATTTCGCGCGCTTTTACTGGCAGTTGGCCTAGAAAACTCACACCTGGCCGCTAGGCCATCGGTTCCCACTTTTACTTTTCGATGCCGTTTTTCTCAATGAAGGAATTTTTTTGAATTTTTCTTTATTTTTATGGGAATCTACATGGATTTCGGCACAAAATAAAGCAATAAAATTTTTCACCGCACACCACCTTTAATTGGATTAATTATGTTCAAACAAACCCCCCCCCCCCCCCCCCCAAGGAAGTTGTGAGCCAAATATTGAATATTGCAGAGCTATGCGGTCGCTAGGTTTGGCAGCCGAACGATGAAGTTCGTGTATGAGGTACGATAACCACACCATACACCGTCAGGTCAAAATTCACATTCTCTCAAATTCACATCTAAAATTGACTGTTTCAAGAGTTTGATTTCTTCACAGTTTTCCAATAGTTTTTATCGGGTGTAGTCGATATGTCGCAAACGATCGAAACGAAAAACACATTTTAAAAGCTTAAAAAATAAACTTTTTCGCATTTACAAATCAGGAGAATTCCTAAAAAGTCGCGTTTCTATACTTCGTCCGATTCAAAAAAAAAGAATAATTGAAATCCGAAAAATACTATAATATAAACTTTTACAAAAGTATTGAAACGGAAACATTGGAACTTCCGGAAAAGCTAACCTAGCAAACCAGAAACTCTTGACCAATAGCTCTCTTGACCAAATTTTCGGACACATCAAAATGTTTGAATTCCAACTAACCTTTCATGACCATTGGAAACTGCAAAGAAGGTGTTTGAAACATGCTAACACAATAATTATGACCAAAGTAGATTCTAATCTCCTCCACAACTCCAATCGGCTCCACCCCTTGTGCTCTCCGGAAGCTCCGCCCACTTTCCCCCGTTTCTGCTAATATTCTGTCAAACACTCTGCTACATGTGTTCTGGGTGAGCACACGATGAATGTGCAAATAGTAAGAGAAGACCTTGTTAGGGGCTTGTAGTTGACGCCCGTGGTTGAGGATTACTGTAGATGAGCGATGAGCCGATTAATAATTGTTAACGAGGGAGCAAACGGGGTTTGGAACGTTTCGGAAATTTACATGTATACTTGAACAGAAACTTAAATAGATTGTCACTGTTTCAAGACCTTCGGATAAGATTTTCAAGATTCGATCATTCATTTAAGTAAGGGTGTGAGATCATTTAACTGTTAAAGAATACACAAGTTTTAGTGACCGCAATAATCATATAATCATGTCTGAAATTTATGGAGCAGTTTATAAAAAATTTGAAACTGAAGTATTTTTCTTGTTTCAACAGAAACTTCTAGAAAATACGCTCTCCTGAAAAATATCCTGAAAAACATTTCAGCTGAATCAAAAACTGTTTCGTTTCTTGAACTCATTCATGTTTGCGATTTTTTTTGTAGTCAGAATTATAATATTTATGAAGAAAAATTGTGATTTGGTGAACCAATTACGTATAGCTGAATGAAGAAGATCGACATGATACACTTATACAGGAGTTATGAAACTGAAAATCTTTTCTCCCTAGTTTATCAAATTTGTAGTTTTTAACAGGTTGAAGGATACCAGATTCGTCAGTTTTTTTTAAATAAGGGTATGCATTCTGACGTGACGGTGTACAATGATCGGTGTTCACACATGACATCGGTAGGCGGCGTAGCTTGTGTCACCGTAGCTTAGCCGGTAACAACGCGGTACCTGAAAAGTTGGGCCCACAAGTTCAATTCCTCGAGAAGCGCATATGAACAAAACTATGAGAAAATAATTCTTTGTGTCCTCACACTTTTGAGATGCTTTTTGGAATATGAATGTCATAAGTTTCAAAAAAGAAGAAAATTGATTACCAATTTTTTGCCTGTTCCAGATTTATCTTAACGACTTTAAAGTTTGAACGCATTTTTATAAGATTTATTTTTGACTGAATTCTGCTAGCCTAGAAAACAAGAATTTTGGAAGAGAGAACGCCAGTTTCAGTGGCTGCAGCCCCCGGAACAAAAACTACCATAACCCAAAAATGTTTTCCCGTTTCTGACAATTTTCCATTGTAAATTTTTCCGACTAATTTCAGAAGAACAGTGGAAACCGAGAAAAAAGTCCGGAGGAAGTTGAAATATTTCAGGCTACTGTAGTAAGTACCTTCTCGTCCATTTTTTCTTCCTCAACTTTAATTTCTGTAGTTCTGAAATCACTCATTGACGGGATGTTGATAATTCTGGAAAAAACAGTTTCTCTGAATTTACCCGGAAAAATTATATTCTTCCATCTAATGGACCTTTCTAAGTATAAGCGAGAAATAGCAAACAAGAAAGTTTAAACACCACTCAAATTATTTTTCTCCTGTACGAACTGAATTTAAACACTTTAAGAAACACTAATTTTTGGAAGATAAACTGACAGTTTTATGCATAAAACCAAAAACCATTACGCATTAAGAACTGTTACAATGAAAAGTGAGCAACTTTACCAACATTAAAAGTATTAAATTCCTGACAAGACTACCAGCAATAATTTTTTTTGGTGACATTATATTCATCAAGGAGATGAAACATAAACATCTTGAAAATGATAGTCTAGTTAGTTAGACTGTTCTTGAATTCAATTTATAACCAAACGTTTCAAGCTGTAAATGTTCTGTTGAATACCACAAAACACGTACATTTTTTGCTCAATTATCCCGATTTCTAGAAGAGATATCAAGAAGCTGTTAACTGATAAAGTCTTTGTGATATCTCTGATAGGAATCTAGATAAATGTGCTCGAAGTGCAAGAGCGCTCTATTATTGGTTACCGTTAACCGATACAAAAAATTTTTACTCTCTCTCTTTTAAATGAGCAAAGATTCTTTTGTAATAATTTTTCTGTTTTATATTCTTTTCAAGAGAGATTTATATATATATATTTCGTTTATTCGAAAGATTAGAAGAAATAAGGAGTGATGGAAAGATTTAAGAATGAAACATTGATGAACATTTTACATGACCACAAAAACGTTACGGTTTCATTAACTTCATAACCTCTGGTTCATCGTTTATCTCGTTTCCTTTGATATCTTCAATGTTTTTTCTCATCTTTTCAACTTCTATACTTCTATTCCAGAATCCAAAATTTCCTGGTCTGACTAAAATAGATTACAATATCCTTGAATTCTCCATTTCCTCTGTTCTTCCTGAAATTCTAAAAATCTCGAAAAATTCCAATTTCCGTTGTCCAAATTTTCGATTTCCTGCTGTAACCCAACACCTCCATGCCCTCTAATTTCCTCTCCCACTAATCATGCTCTAAACCGTTTTGCGCAATGAACACGAGAAAAGAGACAGATGTGTCCCGTCAAGTGGTCTATTACGGGAGGGACCATACATATCAAAAAAAAGGTACAGGGGCCTGTCGGTCTGTTTCATCTTTAGTCCCCAATTTGGACAGGAAAACGGAGGCCGAGTAAATAAAAAATAAAGTCTTTGCACATGTATTCTGAACAAACAGTGTAGATCTCTCTTCTAACAAATGTATCCAACTGTGCCTACTATCGGCTTCGGTTGCAAAAATGAATGAATGACGGATTAGTTGAAAATGAGAGAAGAAGATATGGTTAGCACAATTGACATGTGTTGTAGATTTATTTAGAGAGTATAGAGAGACAAAAATCAGTGGGGTGGCTGTATTTTTGGAAGTTTTTGGAAAGAAAAAAATCGTCGGGCGTTTTTGGTAACATCGAATTTCTAACTTTATGAAGAATTTTTTTACATGCACAACTTGAAACATGGAAAAACTTGGAAAAACTGCTTGTTGGAAGTATAAGTTTGACAAAAAGCAACAATTAACAAGATTATCAAAACAGAACGTTTCAAACAGGAAGACAAAAAAGTCTTACGGTAGTCACATGAGCAACCATAATTCAAAAATTGGATTTTCTAGATAAAACAAAAATTTTTGCAAAAAGTGTCCATGAAATCGAAAACTAGAGTTAGCTGAATTATAAAAATTTTCATTAGAAGAATTGAGAAGAAATAGAACGGTCAGTACGGTTTCTAAACAAAATTTACAGAACTATTGAAACGGAAAAATATTCAACGATTTTTATTTGCACTAAAGGTTTCAAGAACATGTCAAATTTGGATAATTGGAATTTGTTAGCTAAATTTTTTCACTGTTTCAACAAAGTTTTCAAAAAAAAATTCAGAAGAACAGATAAGAAATGATCGTTATTTCTATTTTGGATCAATTGTATTCGGTTCAACATGAAAATAAAGTTGAATTTTAAGAATTTTAAGTTGATTGCAGACGGAAGTGTTAAGTTCGCGGATTTCGAAAAAAAAAATTCCAGTCGATAACTTGTGTCAGAGGTATAGTACAAAAAGAATTGAGAGCTTAAAATCTAGGTAATTCATTTCAGTTACTTCGAAACAACAATCAACATCATCTTCTGCTCATCGTCATCGACTGAGGCAAAAATGGTCAAAACGAGAAGCTCCGACGCCGTTCCAGCCAATACGATGACAGCGGAAGAGAATAATATATCTTTTAATTAATTGTTTTTTCGTTGTTCCTTGTTTTTTCTGTGTAATAAACAATTTTTAGCAGCTGCTAGCTTCCAGATTCGAAAAAATATATGCCAATTATTGCTCTCGCGACAAGCCAATTGTGGGAGATTTGCTCGCGATAGGGCCAATATTGGTCGTTTGCAGTGGCGCGTTCGCGATTGGTCCTGCGGCAGGCCTGTTCCGATGGTAAATGGCATGCGGCAGGCATGTTCCGATGTACCCATGGCGTCTTTCCGCGAACAATATTTCACCTATTATAGACGCTGCGCGAATCACCTGTAATGGGTGCGCGCGTCGATCCGAAGACGGCGGAGGTTCGGATCCGTCATGTGTCTATTAGCTTTTTCCTTAATTTCCTTTACGTATTTTCCGCGCCGCAGGATTGCAAGCTTCTAAACCCCGCCCACTTTTCTGCGCACCGCAAAAAAATGAGGAGAAAGTCAGTACATCGAGGTCTGGTACAAAAGGGTGTGTAGCTCGGGAATAAATGAATATCTTTCGCTGAAAATTTGGGAATGGACTTCTATAAGGTAGGACAATCCAACAATAAAAACTGGGAAAAATCTTTTTTGAAAATTTTGTTGTGGTGCCTACCTGTATTACGTTTTTTTGCGACCGCGTAGCTCAGCCGATTGCGGCGTAGTACGTAGTACCAGTATTTGGTCCACAAGAAATCCAACACCCACAAGAAACAAAAAATGAAGGGAATAAATTTATTCTATCCATAAAGTTAAAGACTATTCTAAAAATCAAGGTATTTTTTCACAATAATTGAAAACAACAATATTTTTCATTTACAACCAGCAATCTGGTGCACCTTCGGCGCGATGTAATATAATTTTTACTGGTTGGTCACTCCGCTCCTCCTTTATTCTCAAGAGTCACGTAAATCTATATTTATTCCTCAAGCTTTTCAAGCCTTACACCGGAACAGACAGACGCGTGTAGCGTTTTATATACCAGCCTGTTTGCCGCGCCTCCGGCGCTTCAAACAGCTGGCTGGTGCGCCTTTGGCGCAATTTGACCTTTTTCTTTTTTTCGTCGCTTCGCGACTCACTCTGTTTCAAATGTCACGTCAAATAATATTTAATTTTCAAGATTTTCAAAAATATGCGGACAAATCCACAGAGAAAAAGACGCAACTTCATTTATTTATTATAAGAATGATAAGAATGATAGGGATGATACTTTTAACGGTTTGCTATTAACTGTTTACTTTTCCATTAACATAAAACAAAAAAAACCCAAAATAGAAAAATCTGTATTTACTTTGATGCAATTCCAAAAAAGGGAAATTTGTCTTCACAAAAAGTAGTACACATCACTTTCTCTCTCTCCGAATGTACTTGTTTTTTTCAAATGGTAATTCTAATCCTATTCATTTCCCTTCTTTTCATGTGTGCCAATTAGTTCCGACGAGTTGTCCATCTCAATGTCCAAGTTTTACTCATTTCGTTCCACTTTTTCCCCAAAAAGCAAAACAAATCCAAGAAAAGAAAGTGCTATTCTTTGTACTCCTCTTGTTTGATTTAGAAAGCAAAAAAGATAATTGATTTCTTATCCCGTTTTCTCCCGTTAGCCGCTTTTTTCGAGAACTTTCGAGATTCTTTAAAAGCCGCTATCGTAACCTATCATTTTCATTTCCATCCTCTTTTTGGCCTTCGTCTTTTGGATTTTCGTTTTCCGCCAACTTCGGACATTTCAGATAGAAATGCGGATCTTTGTTCTTCTATTCACTTTTCTGGCAAGATTTTCAGACACTTGTGCTCCGACGAGAAGTGCAGTAAGTTGAAATTTTAAGGAATTTGTAAAGAGTACTGCGGAATAAGAATCATAAGTTCCTAAAAATTTTACAGCTTTTGGAAACAGGAAAAAATAATTCCTTGAATTAAATTTTCACGAATGGTCTTCAGTTTTTTTGTTGCTAGATTTTCGAAAACGAAAACTTTTTTTCATGTCCATTCTCACATTGAAAGTTGAACAATCGCAGATGGCATCGAATTTCAAAAAAAAAAAATAAATTTGAAGACTAGCTGAAACAATATTATTATGGTTTCATCAAAAACTTTTTTTCTAATATGTACCTTCCTCAATTTTTTCAGAGTGACTATACCAACAAATGCTGATCAGCGGATAACTTTTGAATATCTCTTCTGAAAATATAATGAAACAGAAAAATATATTCAAAAATTGTATAAGGTTTTTGTTGATTTACAAGAGCGGGAATATTCATTTTGTACAGTAAGACGGTGTACAGTAATCACTTATAGAACTATCTCGCAATATGAGCTCAATTAAGTCTGTTCCTACAAGAGGTATCGAACATCTGTCAGCTGATAAATTTTTTTCATAATATCATCATAAATGAGCTCGAAATGAAAGTATAGGGTGTGCCCCGGTTCCTATGAGAGATATATGACGATATAAAACGTTTAAAAATCCCCTATTTCGCTTTACAAACAAATTGAAACACTTATACTTTTATTTAAATTTGAGTTAACATTTTTAGACGTTTTAAAAACCCCACATATGGTTTGAAATTCTACGGACAGTAATCTGTAATCATATCCTGGGACCTCCAAAAAAACTTGGAAAACCTTCTGTCTTTTAATTCTAAATTTACTCAAAAAAACTTCCAAGGAATACGAATCAACATTCGATCTTCAATTGCTTAAAATATGCTATTAACGGAACAGAAAAATTTAACATTATTTTCAGACACCAATAGTATGTGCATGTGCCACATCAGAAGTTGCTCTTCTCTATCGAATCGATGGAAGTGAAGGTGGTGCTGAAGCTATTCAACCATTAGGAGCTGTGTAAGTGAAACGTCGAGGTTTGGAAATCTGAAAATCTTATGTGAATTTCGCTAAAGGACTGGCAGCAGTAGTAATCCCAAACGTTATAGAAAATTTGAAACCGAGTTTTTTAATTATTGATTTTTGGGTACTCAAAAGGTTTTGCTACTCACTATGAAAGTGAAATAAAAATAGAGTTAGCCTTATTTTAGAATCGAACAATAATAAGAAGTTGCTCATATCAAGGATTTAGAAAATCTGGAGAAATTTAGTTTATCAATGCCATGGCGTGATTACTGCCGCTTGATATCGTTGAAAAAGTTGTGAAAGTTCTGAAACCGTATATTTTTGAAATGTTGCAGCTGATATAATTTAGGATAGCGATACTCTGTTTTCAGGCAATAGTTCAGAAAATTAGTGCAAAATAATTTTGTAATGGGTTTCATTAAACTTTTGGCGTAACGGTGTTGGTGTTTACATCGTTCATTTTGGCTATTATACCCTTCATTCATACAGCAATTTCTGGCTGAAACCGCGAAGCTTAGCCTACAAGCTATTAGCTGAGCTACAAGCGTCATCTGCCGATATATGGAGTACTCAGCCAAGTCAAAATTCATAATCTAGGCAAACAAAACAACAAAAAATATCAATGAAGTTTAGCCTACTCAATTATGAAGCTGTTCAGAAAAAATTAACTTGCTAAATTACAGTTTCAGTTGGTCAATATATAAATCGATTCACATTAAGATTCTGATTACTACTAATTCAGAAGCAAATTTTATTTTACCCTTTTTTTCGCGTATCCAACGACTAACACACCCCAATATTTTGCCAGCAAGTTGAACCTCAAAATAATACTTTTTGTGACCATAAAAAGTATTATTTATGGTCCCCTTATTTAAAGGGCTAATGGAAATATCAGATTCTGAACACATTAAAATTTCCCGGAAGTATTTCTATAATTCCAGCACTCAATCCGATGCCAACAACTGCCCAACAACCTATTCCGTCACTTGCCCAGCCCCAAGCCAAGGCGACATAGTCAGCTACATATTCCAAGATCAATTGAGTGGACCAATCGTTGGAGTCGATTCTATCAATTTGAACTGCACTGATGGCAACTGGCTGTATTTGGACGCGGCAGCTGGGCAATCGTAAGTCTGAATCTTTTTGAAATCATAAAATCACATTTTTCAGATTGGTCGTTTCGGTCTCTTGTCAATGGTCACCTCCTTAATAACTCTTTAAATTTCTGAATTCCTACACACACACTGGTCTAATAATAGTGGCAATTTGAAGAAGGATTGCTCATTTTGTATATCTAATCTATTGTTGTTTAATAAGCTGAAAGAATGAAATAAATAAATCAATTCGATATATGATAAATGAATCAATTTTGATTACGCCCTTGGGTTCAAGCGAGGGGGTCAGAAAAAGCGCCCCAGCAAACTCGTAGGCCAGAAGAAATTTAATAATTTTAAAATGAACGCGGGTTTGAACTAGATCATGATCTATTTCTTAAAAATCAACGGGTTGCAACGCGCGTATTCTCGCTCATCGTTTAAAACTGTGATACTCAGCCAACGAAGTTCGGCAGCGAACTGAGATTTTTTGAAAAATTTACTGGGGCGCGCTTTCTGACCCCCTCGCTTGAACCCAAGTGATTACGAAATAATTTATCTCACAGGGCACGCTCTCCCACAGAACATTTCCGAACTGCAAATTAGTTTTTGATCTACAGAAAAAAAGTTTGGCGCGATCACAATTGCAGGTCTAAAACCATAATTTCAGAATTTTTTATCTGATTTTGTGGAGTTCCAAGATGATTCAAATGATTCTTAAAAAATTAATTAGTGCTTATAGATTCATGTATGGTCGTTTTCCGGAAGAAAGAAATGGTCATTTTGAAAGTTTTTTACAGAAAAAATCTATCTCCTCTTTCAGTTTTTGACATTTCTAAGAGTTCTATAGCTCAAAAGAACCGCAATAATTTACTCTTCATTTTGTATGAAAGAATTTTTAATTCGTCTGATAAAACTTTTTTTATAATCAAAAAACAACTTTAAAATGCTATTTTGCGCAATTTCATGAGGTTTTTTAATTATAAAAAAAGTTTTATCAGACGAATTAAAAATTCCTCTATACAAAATGTAGAGAGAATAATTGCGGTTTTTTGAGCTATAGAACTCCTAGAAATGTCAAACACTGAAAGACGAGCATAGATCTTTCCTGTAAAACACTTTCACAATTACCATTTTTGACCTTCTTTCTTCCGGAAAACGACCAGACATGAATCTATAAAACGCTAATTAATTTTTTTTAAGAATCATTTGAATCATCTTGGAACTTCACAAAATCAGATAAAAAATTCTGAAATTATGGTTTTAGACCTGCAATTGTGATCGCGCCAAACTTTTTTCTGTAGATCAAAAATTAGTTTGCAGTTCGGAATTGTTCTGTGGGAGAGCGTGCAGGGGAAGTACCCGAAGTGAAATTTCGCTTTTTCTTAGATGTTGGTGGCAAAAAATGTCCCGTCGCTGGACTAGCACAAAACGAATAATATAAGGTGCCCATAGGCAGGTTGAGCAGAATGACAAATCTTTTTGTGATTTTTCCGAAAAAGTGGGTCACGTCCATTCAAAAAATCATAACTTTGTACAGATTGAAGATAAAACGATATACTAAACTGTATTTTGTAGCACGGATTTCAGGCTACAAAAAACCTAATTACACCTTCATTCTATCTCTGCAAAGAAATTTACTATGATAGGAATTGTCCGAATGGTCCGATCGTATGAAATCAAAAAATGTCGATTTTCGAAAAAACACCTTTGGAAGACTATGTCTATCCGATTCCTTTTATGTCATAATTCATAACTATTATCTCAAATATATAGCTCACCGTTCATTTAAGAGAGATTTTTGAAAAAATAATATTTTTAAAGTCAATTCCATGTATGGTATTTTTTAACATGTGAAGTTTTTTTTTCGAAAGTTTTGACTCCTTGATCACGATTTGATAATTTTCTGTCAAAAAACAACTAGATCAACTGAATCGTTTGTTCTCAGAGCTTTTATGGTGTATATGGAAAAATGAGTTTGAAAAATACCATGTATAGGGGTACATGGAATTGACATTTGAAAGTTTATTTTTCAAAAATCTCTCTTAAATGAACGGTGAGCTATATATTTGAGATAATAGTTATGAATTATGACATGAAAGGAATCGGATAGACATAGTCTTCCAAAGGTGTTTTTTCGAAAATCGACGTTTTTTGATTTCATACGATCGGACCATTCGGACAGTTCCTATAATAGTAAAATTCTTTGCAGAGATAGAATGAAGGTGTGATTAGGTTTTTTGTAAAAAAACCTGCCTATGGGCACCTTATATTATCCGTTTTGTGCTAGTCCAGCGACGGGACATTTTTTGCCACCAACATAAGTAAGAAAAACATAAGTAAGACATAAGTAAGAAAATTTCACTTCGGGTACTTCCCCTATCAATCTTAACTTCTCAAATTAGAATTCTGAAACTGAATAATTTATAAGGTTTCGTTGATAGATTTTCTGGTCAGGAGTCGAACTCCATGGTTTAAATCTTTAACGAACAATGCCGTAACCGTCTGAGCTACGCGGTAGCGAACTTTGGGTCGTGATCGTTGGGTCGTATATGTGAAAACGAGTATGATATCCACTTCAAGAACTTTTGATTCATTTTCTGATTTTGATATCCATGGGAGACATAAATCAGGAGGACTCAAAAAGATAGTTATTAACAATAGGTGAAGTTAACTTTTAATATTATCGGCTTTATTGTCGAATTTTAAAAAAAAACTGACACCTGAAAATTTTCGCGGGCGGCTAAATGTCGATTAACGTGGATCCGCTGGGCGGA